CGAAGGCTCTCCCAAAACTTCGCAGGAAGAGTCAAAGGCTATCAACTTGATATTGGGCATAACGCAAAAGACAGGGTGTCATCTGCATATTAAAGTTGGTAGATCTCTTCCTCTTTGCTAGGATTTGTAACGTCTAATAATGCCTGCTCTAAACGCCTAGAAATATATTTGCTGAAAATTTCAGCCACGACAGTGAAAAGGGAAAGGCGATTGAGGACCACCCTAAGGCAGTCCTCTAGACGGGGAAAATGGCCTTTGGGGGACCATTATCATGTGGAAAAAGAAGACGATGAATTACAACCAAAGATCCAAGGAATGCCAAGTTTGGCCAAAACCCATCCTTGAAAGCACTTGATCAAGGATTGACCAATCCACATAATTCTATACCCTCTCCCTGTTGAACTTGAGGATGATATTAGGGTTTTTGGACTGGTTTTAATAATGGGACCGCTTCAAGGATCTGATGATTGTTTACGAAATCACTCTAGTTAGGAGAGAGAACCACATCGAGGACAGATTTATGATACAAGGCAAGCACCTATGGGAGAAATTTGTGAGAATTAAGTAGGCTAATCGGTCTGAAATCCTTAATCTCTTCAGCCCCTTCAATCTTGAGTATCAGAGCAATGGATGTTGAAACCATTTCTTTACTCGGGACACCCTTGTGAAAAAATTCTCTAAAGAAAGCAAGAATGTCAGGAGAGAGTTTCCCAGAATCTCGAGAAAACAGCAACTGGGAAACCAGCAGGCCCAGGGATCTTATCTTTGCCTAAACCAGAGATCCCATGAAATCTCATCGATTTCGAAAGGCCTTTCAAGCCAAGAGGCTTGCTTTTGAGAAATGGTAAGGAAAGGGCGATCAGCTATGAAAAGCTGGGAACCTTGGTAGGCTGAGGAAAGCTCTACAAAAAAAGGAAACAAAGGTTGTAGCCACAAAACTGGGTTCATTGAATGATCAAGAGACAATTGAGATTTGGTTGGTAGCTTTCGCCCTGCATCTACAACTCATGATCTAATGGAAGAAAACAGTATTTCTATCACCTACCAACAGACACACTGTGAATCTTTGGTGCCCGTAGACCTGCTCTTTGCAGAGTAATTGTAGCTATTTGGAGTTGGCTAACCCTTGCTATTGGTTTCGTCCTGAGTCATGACTCTCGCCTCTTCAGCTAGTCAAGGTTTTGGAATCCAGCAAATAGAGAAGCTTTAGACTGAGAAGTTTCCATGAGGAGAGCGAGAGCATTATTTGAGAAAGAATTTAAGAAGCTTCAGTTTCTTTTGAGATCTAAATCCCACACATCTGTGGATAGAAAAGGAGGACAACCAATCTTTTGACCAAATTATCAACTTTTGGTCCTTCAAACCAAGACATTTCCAAATGAAAATGTTTAGGACGAGAGAAGATAGTTTGTTGAGCATAATGGCCTTATGGTTAGAGACGAGTTTGGCAAAAGTATTAGAATGGGTTCCTGGTAATTTTTCTTCCCACTTAGGGGAGGCCAAAAATGTACCGTGCCTGGTTAGTATGGTTTCAAATGAATGATTCGATGAAGTGTAGGATGAGCCATTTAAAGAGATGTCCACTGGACTATTCTGGGCAATGACGTATTGAAAATCTTGCTATACTTGAAATATTCTCAGGTTTTTGTTTGGTTCATAGGGCCATCTAATAATATTGAAGTCCCCTCCAATGACCCATGGGTTGGGTGCTGATGAAGCGATCATCTGTAATTCATCCCAAAAGGCCTATCTAACTTGGTTTTTGTTTTGTCCGTAGTCTATCATAAATTTCCACACATAGTTGCCTGAACTTGTGGACAAAAATGGGAGACCAGGGAATATCCTATAGAATTTCGGATGAGGGTGTGCATTGAAGGGTCCCAGTCACCCAAATGCCCCCGGCACACCCAAACCTTCTAGAGAGACATTGGGAGGGGCACCTGCCCCAGAACTTCCTTATAGAAGGAAGGGTGGGAGACGGAGCTTTGGTATCTAGAATAGCTAGGACATCAGAATAATGCTGGCGAGTTTTTCCTTAGGGATTCACCAATCCCTCTAATGTTCCATATGAGTATCTTCATTTGGATGGGGTTTTGGAAGGAACTAGGCGTCTAGGGGACTCCTTGGTGGATTGTTGGGAGAGTGGATGGTTTTTTTGGGGATTGGGGGAGAGGGGGGGGGGGGGGGGGGGTTGTGTAGAGGAGTGGAGGGCTAAGGGATAGATGAGGTCGAACTCTCGTGGTTGAGCTCATAGGATAGATTGAAAAATTCTCTAATTCCTTTGTTTTTTGCTTGTCTTGCATTTTTAGATATGAGAGCTTGGACCATCATAGTTGATCGTCATAGCTTCTATCATGTCTCCAATATTGGGTTCTCCTTGGTTGGTATGATCCAATTCTTCCACGTTTACCATCTCTTAGGTTGAGACCACGATGGGAGCTTATTTAGCATTTGCTCCCGGCTGAACTTGGGCAGTGATGTTTTCTGAATGGTCTTCTATAGTTGATGAAAGAATATGATGAGTAAAGGATTAGAGAAGGTATTAACATTAGCCTTCGCTCAGGGGTGATCAGGATAAAGGACCATCCTCTTTTTGAGGAGAGAGGGAGGGGGAGGTGGAGGGAGAGGGGGAGGGGGGGAGATTGGAACACGCGAAAAGAGAGAGACGAACGAGCAGAAAGCCAACCTTGTGAGGGAAGGGGATTGGGGATTCTAGTAAATTTTATGGCTACTTCCATGGGTTCTTCCATTCATAACAGCAACAACGTTTGGTTTATTAGAAATACTCCACCCAAATATTACCCTATTAGAAATAAAAGATTTGGGTTCTCCACCCTCAACAGAGGCCAAGGAACACCTTCCATAGTTGGAAGTTTAATCAATACCTTTTGTCTGAAGAAAAGCCTTTTTCCATTTCACCATTAGCCACACTAATGTGATGGTATTTAATATTTTGGGTGTGTAGAGAATTCATGCACAGTTTGGTCATTTTATTATTTTATTTTAGTTGTGGGTATTTTAGGACAATGTTTTTCAATAAATATATGGGAAGGGGAGAGAAGGTTGTCCAACCCCTTATTTTTGAGAACATTCTGAACGAGGAAAAGAGAAAAAGAAAAAACCTAGAGAAGGGCTTCTTGCATTATTTGATTGAAGGCCATAGAGAAGGCCCGGTAGAACCTCCAAAGGTCCCTCCTTTTTAACGTATTCTTCAATTTCTTCTCTTCTTTCCTTTCGACTCTCTTCATCTCCTTTCTTCCATCTTTTTCCTTAAATTCTTTTGTTTTCTTTCTTATTCTTTCATTCCATCTCTTTCCCTAAATTCTATCATTTTTTTCTCGCATAACTTTCCCCTAAATTCTTTTGTTTGTCCTCTTCCTCCATCCTTTTTTGGCTCTTGCTCTTTTTCCCCTTATTATCATCATGTTCTCTCGTTTTCCCTTATTTATTTATTTTGCCTAACTTTCTTATGCCCCTCCAAATATTTAAAGAGTCCCTGAAAACCCTAAAAAAAAAAGTTTCCTTATCAAAATTAAAATCCCTTGAAACCTTAACCATAATTTCACTTCTAAAGTCAAAACCGTAATATCTTTACACTCCATTATCTTCAAAACCCTAAAACTAGTTGTGGAGACCTTCCGAAATTGATTTAAAGTTATTCTACACTTGCTTTTTCTGTCCAAGCTATAGGCTAGTTTTAAATCCACATCAATTTTATTTAGCTAATTTTTTTTAAGGGCAGATTTTATTCCATCAAGGATTTGAGATCTCATTTCTTGGGCATTAAAGCATCATCATCATCAGAGCCTTATCCTAACTATTTGAGATCAGTTACACGAATTCTGTTTTGCCATCTTACTCTATATACTCTCAGTAAGACCATAAGTCCCCAACTTTTTGGGCATTAAAGCAATTTCCAAGATTGCATGTTGATTTACATAAGTTTGTTCATTTGGTTTTTGTGAATAATAACCTGCTGAAAATTGTAGATATTGAACCTTATTTGAATTTAAAATGTTCTCCATGTGTTTAGTGAGTGTTTGATTTTAGGTTACATTAGTTTGGTGTGAGGGTGTGTTCTATCCTAGGGGGCTAGGGCTAGGTTACATGATTTCTTGCAAACACCATAAAAATACTTGTCTTTTCTACTTTTTCCAAATATATAACAAAAAAATAAGAAAAAGGTTTAAACTTACTAGGTGGGCGAAATAGGGTTGGTTGACTACAATCCTCTGCTCATGTCGCCTAATTTTCATCAAGAAAATGGCGGTTTTTAACTGCTAAATTAGCTCTCTCTCTCTCTCTCTCTC